GCCATGTATTTGAAAAAGCTCTTTTTGTTGTGTTTGACCTCTCTCACCAGGTTTAACTCTAAGGAGGCCTTAGCTTTCCTAGTTGCTTCCCTACATCCTCTGACAATAGCCTTATATTCTTCCCAAGTGGCCAGCCCCTCCTTCCATGATCTGTACACTTTCCTCTTCCATTTGAGCTTACCCAGTAGTTCCTTGTCCAACCACACAAGTCTCCTGGCTCCCTTCTTTGACTTTCTACGTGTCCGGATGCACTGACCTTGAGCTTGATAGAAGCAGTCCCTGAATGCCAACCAACTATCTTGGGCCCCTTTACCTTCAAGCAGCCTTGTCCATGGGATTTCCCCCAGCAACTGCTTGAAAAGGTCAAAGTCGGCCCTGCTGAAGTCCGGGATAGTAATTTTCTCTCCCTAAATGTTCTGATTCAAGATGACATCTAGTGAAAAAAAAAAACATAGAGCAAATCATTGTACTCATTATTAGCCAGTTTTGTCAAATATGTTTTTCATGCATTTCATGCTGCACTTGTCAGGGTTTAGGTAAAGTTTTCAGGTTTTTCTTATTTATTAGGGAGAAAAAACTCAAAACTGTGTACTAGCTTGGATATGGCATTTCAAATACAGATAATGCTGACACAGAGTACATAAATAGTTTTGGGTGGTTTTATACTTTCCTTCAGAATATTATATGGATTTTCGGTCAACCACAAGGAAATTTTTTACAGCATTCTGCACAACTTCTAAGCTTGGGAAAATCTGGACAATGTCGAGAGTGAACTTTTATTTACAAGATCTACTTATGCGACCTTTGTTTTATCTTTTCTTTTTTTCCCTCACAGAGTGGAATTTACTATGATCAAAGAAATTATAGCAGCCTTAGATATAGTAAACCGGTTCCTTCCTACCATACTCGGGTCTGTCTCCTCTTTTTCTAATGTGTATAAAATGCATATATTTTTCTTGCTTTTACTGTATGAAGTAAACTTCTCTCTCTTTCTGTCTATAACACTGCAGATTATTACAGCCAATAGTTACAATTGTGTTTCTTGGTTTTAAGGGTTGCCTTTTGTAAAACGGATGCATAACATGCAAACCACTCTGGGTTCTGCATATGTGGGGTTTTAAATTTAAAGTTGTGTCATGCTTGCTGTATGATATAAAGAAAACAAATCGCAGCTGTGACACTTTCTCAAAGTCCTATTTAAAAAAAAAAAAGGCAACAAAACATGTTTAGTACCAATATACTATTTTCTTCTATAGTAATATAAATGATAAATGAGTTGTCTGTCATGAGATGAGTAGGATCTTCCAATATGTGCAGCTAATGTCATGGTCAGGTTTAAATAAGTAGCTAGAGGAGATTGATGTCTTTTGAAAAACACTTAATTTTCTGTCATTCTCTTGTACAAATATTCTGATAAAAATACTAGATTGCCTTAACTGATGTTGTAGATTATAGTTTCAAAGGCAGCATGTTTTCCTGGAGTGTTTATCCACACTTTTCTTGAAATACCTGTCTATTATAGATGTAAAATTTACTATTTCGATCTTTAGGACTTCTGGGGAATATAGAGCAGCATATAAAAAAATGTACACAGAAAAAAATATTTCTGTCTTTTTCTATTTTTCACACTGCAGTCATCTTCTTTATACAGTGATCCAGTGGCAACAACTAGGAGTTACAGGGTTAGTACAATGTAAAACAATACCTTGCTTTTCTTGAGATGTTTGAATGGCCCTCGAATGTAAAATCACATGTTTCTTCATAGGCATCACCTTCTGTAAGCACTGGTTTGATAAGAAGTATCAGTTTGGTTCGTAAGCACCATTTGCATGGTTGCCTTAAATTTGTGTTGTGTGGCCATGAGGCTTGACAGTACCTGTGTATTTTTTTTTCATATTTTGAACTAAAGCTGCAGCTTGTGCGTGTCATTTTGTCGAGGCATTCAGTTTAATGCTTTTAACATTGTTAAATTGCCTCTTTAAAGTGTCTTAGCAGTTGCTGTTTTACTGGTCTCTCTACAGACAAGCATAAAGCTCATAAGTACAGCAATGATGTTGAAGAATACTGGAATTAGAGCAAAATAATCCAAGCACACCAAGTAACTGCACCTATAATACTAGAAAAAATATCTAAGGAAGTTAAGCATTTGAACAGGAAAAATCATTGTCAGGAGTTTGCAGAAATTTGTGGTTAATTACACTTCAGATGCTTTGAAATAAGATGCCATATTTAAATTTAATAATTATACTAAAATTTAATAGGATGAAAATCTAATCTCAGTTTTTGCAAAAAGTGGTTAGAAGTGCCATAAGAATGGCTAAGATGGCTCTACAAAAAGTCGTCTTAGTGACATGCATGCCTGAAAATGTATGCCTTTTGCTGCTACAGTAGTGCAACCTATGCTGCCATTTAGAGACGTGATAAACCTGTGCAGAAAATCATCAGCTATTTTTATGTAACATTCTTACACAAGAATAGCAAGAATTAGATATTAGTTAGTGCGGTCTTGTTTTATGCTTGGATTGCAAACAGAGATACTTACTTTTTTGGCTCTGGGCATATTCTTGAGAAACCCTTAGAAGATCCAGTGAGAGAACAAGACCATAATGACTGCTGTTACATATAATTCTAGTATGTATGTAATTATAATTTCTAAAAGCTGCCTTTATAGGTAGAGGGAAAGCAGCATGAAACTAAGTTCTAAATTTTTTTAAATGTATTGCCCAGAGCTGGTTTTATTATCCACTGCATAAAAGACTTTGCGTTTGCATCCTGAAACATTCTCCTTCAGTTTCCAGGGTGGACTAAAATTTCAGAAGGATTCAGAGCAGTGAAAAACAAAATTGCAATTTAATTTTTTTTTTTTTCCTGAAAATGATTAAGATTTGGTATTTTTTAAAAAACTGTGGCAATTTTTCAAGGAAATTCTTAAATTGATGTTTGGAAATAAACATCCTAAATAGCAGAAAAGAGCAGGAAATGCTGCTGGAAAATTTAAAAAATTTTATCCCTTCAGGAAGTATAATATTAACTGGAAAATGCATAGATGAGGTAAGATAAGCGTACATTACAATATGTAAGAATTAGAACATATAAGACTGTGGCGTAATTATTTCTGTGATTTAATATAAATAGTATTTCGTTCCCTCCTTCTCAGGCATCTTTGTGTGGTGATGGATTACGTAGCTCATATAGTTCCCGCACTGTAAGTGTAAATAGGCTTTTGGTTGTTTCTTTCATTATCTTTGTATTCTGGAGACAAAAAAATCTGTGCAAATTGTGAAAATTTCCTTCATAACTTTTCTTTAGCCATCTGAATACAGTTATTCTTCAAGAGCAAGCTCAGTTCGAAGTAGTCCTGTGGTGAGCGTTCCTTTTGCATGATTTGCTGAATGCTTGGATGCTAACATGCGCCAATTATGAGTTATTTACGCATGGCATCATTCTGCTGAGCAATACACAGACTCAGTTAATCAATTCTTCATTCAAAAGGTATAATTTGCTGGAGGTGTGATTTTTAGCAAGATGTGAAGTTTTAGCAGTTAAGTGTAGAAGGAAGGAGGAGTTTGTTTTCCTAAACATCTTTTAAAAGTTTGTGATGTATATACATGGAAGCAGTTGGAAACCAGAGTGTAGTACATGATGGGGGATACCACCTTATGTCATAGTTGGGGCAGGCACATGAAACAATTACTACGACATGTGCGAAAAAGTCTTTCTTTCTGGGAAGATGACTAGCACAAACTTTATTATATCATGCAGTAAGAAACAGCTGGCTCATTTGTATGGTGACCAGTATTCAAAATGCAGAGGAATTTGTTGTTGGATCTGTATTGTGTTAGAAGTATCATTCCAAAGCCAGCTTTTCATGCTGCAAAGTGATTTTTCGATAGTTCTACTCTGTTCCTGCACGGAACAACTATTGGTTTCATTGATGTGGCTACTCTTTGGTCATGCTACACAAAAAGTAGTCCTTTTTTTTTTTTTTTCATTTTTCACATAATCTTAAAAAAGTTACAGAATTTGAACAAAAACAGATTAGCTACAATACATGTCAGAGGGAATTTTTGAGGATGTAGGAAAGAGGGAATTTTGTTGTAGCTTTATGAAGTTCCAAAACTTAAGAGGTATAAACACCCATTTGTAAAGTCTCTGGAACTGTGAAAATACTATTTATCTCCTTAGTTTCTCTTAACATTAAGATTAATTTCTTAAAAGTATCCAATATGGGAATATATGTACCAGATCTCTTTATGCTGGGGTACCCTTCACTCACACTAGTGAATGTTTAACAGAGTCCGAAGTATCTGTTTAGTGATCTGAAAAGCAGACAAAGTAAAAATCTTACTCATAACTTAACTTTCTACTGGTTTTGTGGTTAATAATTTGATTTCACTCTGAGTTGTGCATTGGAAGCCAGCTCAGTACTCACAGGAAATTGAAAGAAAAAGTGAGAGAGAAGATAGAAGCAGAGTACAAAACGCTGATGAAAATCTGTGTGTCGTATCTTCATTTTAAACTGTATTGGTTTTGATAAAGCTGTTGAGAAAGAGAGGCACAAAATGCATAGATGGAGAAACAGTAAGGTTTATCAGACGTGGACTTTTCAACAGCAAAAATAAGTTGGTTTTGAATGAAAAAGCAAGTTGTGATCATAGAATATGTTTGTAGATGCTGACTTGTTTGTTCTTTGGATGTCAGCGTAATTAATGTAAGCAGAATTTATTCTGTGACAAGAATAAATTGCAATAATGGAGATTTAAGTTAGGATTTCCTGTTTGTTTCTTTTTAAATAAAATTCTGTGGTGTCATCTTCTCTTTTCTTTCACTCTTCTCCTTATCTTTTGAAGTCCTCTGATTTTTCTGATCAAAGTGAAACTGCTGCTGACTATTTCAGTCGTTCCAACCGCAGGGGAAGCATTATTTCTGATGCAGATGATGTCCAAGGTTTGAATAGTGTGAGTGTAATATTTATTCTTATACTGTGGTGAATACAGCAAATGTACTAATCGTGGATTTTCTTTTCACACTCTGAAAGAGTAAATACTATAAAAACATGCAGAGATATCGAATGGCAGATCTGTTGAAGGCCATTTCTTTTTGTATTAAATGTCCAGAGTGTGAATTTTTAAGAAGCATGCCACTTTATTTAAAGGGGGATTTTGCCTGTTGCTATAAGCACGTGACAAATATTAACATTTCACGTTCTTTGTGTGTAATAAGCTTAGACATCTCTTAAATGTAATACACTGTGTGTTTGTTTTTTCTTAGGGAAATGTCTAATTTTGTGTGTATTTTTGGAACGCTACTAATGAGTGTAGTGACAAAAATAAATACTTGCCACAGTATCCTCGTTACTGCATTTTACATTCATCCAAGATAAGATTTGATCAGAATCCATTACTGGAGTGATCATTGTTGGATATGCTCTTGTACTGAATTGCAAATCAATGGAGCACGTTACAGAAAAATTATGACCGCTTTCCTGTGCATCCCTTTAGCCTGAATATTGTTTACACAAAACCTAGCTGCCTTCTTTTTATTGTTGCTATAAGTCCTAGAAATTTTTATTCCTTGTCATCAAAACTTGTGTTTCAGTAGTGGTAAAAATGAGGAAAATTCTGTTCTTAGTCATGTCCTTGAAATAACACTCAGGACTAGAATATGCAGTAGGAGAGACTGAGAGAACTTTGCTTATTTAGTTATTTTGCTGTTTCTGTGATTCTTCATTTGGATAGTTTAATGCTCTTATAGTGCTATGTGACTTGTAGGAATGCATGATAGTTATCATCTGTACATGCTCAAAGTATGAGAGACCGATCATTTCTCTAGTTTAAATTGTAGCTTTTTTAAAAAATTATTTCTCTTAATAAACTCGCTTTTCTGAAGATTATGCTCTTTTAAAAAAAATGTGGAGGCTGAGACTGGAATTGTTACCTCCTCAGTTGCTTTTATCATTATCGTTATGTACTATTAGATTCCAAATGGATATTTTTGTTTATTGTAAATCAGATCGATTGGATTCTTCAGTTCGTTTTATCGTTATAGTGGTGGCAAATAGTTGCGATTTACAATTTCAATACATCATTGGAGCTGGTCAATTTGCCATGAAAATGCAATGTTGCTTCTATAGAAACCACAATATAAGAAAAAAGAAAGATCTCTTAAAGTAGCATTTATTTCTTCTTGTAGCAAACTTAAAAATCTCTTGTCCATGGGCTGGAAGAAAAATAAATGTTCTCAGAGAAGCAAGATGTCTAAGATACCATTCTCAATATATCATACAAGTTTTTGAGAACATGGCAGCATGTTAAATCTGCATTTAATTCCACCTATTTTGATTCCTAGAAATTTTGAAAATATGAAAATCTACAATATAATTTTGCAATATCAGAGTTTCTGAAATAAGAAAGGGGGAGTGGTAGTTCTCTTGCTTGGGCTTCAGTTGAGAAAATATGAATTTAAATTATTTTGTGGGTTGCTATTAATTAGTACACTTCCATTATGGGATTTTACATGGATTGTTTTTGTCCTGATGCAATTGCAGGTTTCACAGAAGAGATTGAAGGAACAAATGTGTTTTCTAAAAACTAAGATATTCACACTGATGGCCTGAAGTGCACTTGCATGAAGCTTTGTTTGTTATGCCACCAAGTATTGTAGTCACTGTTGAAATGAACATGTTTTGTTGTTCTTTTTACTTAAGTGTATATATACAGTACTTCAATATTGTAATGATTTCTTCTTCTTTTAAAAAAAAGAGTTTCTGGCATTTTCTTTACAAGCATTCATTCATTTTCCAGTTGAGGTAAAACCTATTTTTTCAGGCTGAATTATTTTTTTTCCTGTCTTAGTCTCTGCTAGCTTCTGGTACTTTATTCTTTCATTTTTCAAAATTTGACACAAGATGGTGATCCAGTAGTTGTATCATTGCAAAAGATGTGTTGTGATCACTTTCCTTTTTCTTTTTCAGCTGGAAGAAAAAAGTGAAAAATCACATTCAGAAATATTTTCAAGGGTAAGAGTTTTCAGTTTAAAAATTATTGAAAATCAGTGCTCATCCACAAATTTACAAGCATTAAAGTAGTTCAGAAAGTATAAATGTTGTATAGATGTATAAGTATTTAATTTAATGTATAAATAGATGAAGTAGAAATGTTTTAGTAGAGTGTGCATTACTCATTTCTAAGAGCTTGCAAAGAAATATTTTTAAACATATTTTTTTATCTACAAAATTAATGCTTTGCTTCCTTTATTTCCCAAGGAAGTAATTTTATTCTTCATTTTAATTCTAGCAAGTATTAGTTTCTAATAGAATTTCTTTTCTGTGTGAAAAATACCAATCTTGAAAGGTTGAATTTTAAAAGACTAGGGCTACAAAAATTCATATGCTAGATTCCGCTAGAGACTTTTTCTGAATCCTGGGTGAAAGAGATTATAATTTTGAAAAATATTTTAAACTTCTGCAGTTTTCTAGGGCTAATAGCTTCCTTATGAAAGTCTCTGAACAGACCACTCAAAACTGTAGTGTTATGATAACTGATAGATCATCAAAGAGAACCCAACATTTCACCAAGAAGAAACATTAAGTGCTGGAAAATAATGGAAAATAGTGTGTATAAGCTAATACTAAGAAATAGTAAAAAAGAGAGAGAAGTGTTCTCTGACTGAAGTATGAAGAGTAATGTCAAGAATACCAGAAATGATGGTATGATCCCTGATACAATGTATTTCCTGTTTTAAGCCATCATCTCGCAATTCAGTAAGTGCAACTCCTCTGAGTGGCAACTCATCTAGGAGAGGAAGTGGAGACACGAGCAGTTTGATGGATCCTGATGCCTCCCTCAGTGAATTACGGGTAAACGGCACTTTTAGAGAATTTAGAGCTTATTTAAAATTGTGCTTGTGATTATGACAAATTTTTCTTTGCTACAAAACTTTTTGTTTCTTCATAGTAAGGAAAAGCTCTGAGGATGTCGCAGTCACAAAAAATTTCCGTGTTTATCGTGGTAATTTGTTGTGTTCCTAAATATGCTTCTTAACAGTTTCAGTTATAGTAAAGTAAGACTTTGTTTATGTCAAGTTTGAAACAATTCTGTTCTTTTTGAGGTGACTTGGGTTCAGGGATATGAACAATCTCAATTTCCATCAAGTTTCGAATTAATGATGATTCCTGTGAATTGTTACAGGCTTTGGCGTTTGACAGAAATGCATGTAACCCTTTTAATGCTTTTTCAACTATAAATTATTTCCCCATACTTCTCACACAACGGTTCATTCCTATGTCCTGCAGGATATCTATGATCTTAAGGACCAGATACACGATGTAGAAGGGAGATACATGCAGGGACTTAAAGAACTAAAGGTATCAGGGCTGTTCGCAAGCATGCATTCTTTATGGGTATTTCTGGGTAACAGAGGTATCACTGGTTCCACTAACTAGATAAGACTTTACTAACAAGTTTTTGAATTTCTTTAAAGCATGTATCTAACTTTTAATGCATAGAGAACATCAGCTTAAATTTGTCATGTGAGTTAATTACAATTTAAATATACATGAGATAGTATATGCTTGTTATTTGTTTTCTGTTAAAATAGTATTAAAACTGAATATTTTTAGCAGGTGTTTTTGGGTAAGGTACTGAGAGGCCCGATTGGTTTTTTGTTGTTTTTTTTTGAGAGTCATCTAGTAGATAAATGAATATTCAAAATAGTTACTATGTATTGAACGGGGAGGAAAGAAAAGAGATATAGTTTTTGCAAAAACTTAAATTAACAATTAGGCTTCCAACTTTCAGCAAATACTGCATCTTATAAAGCAAAACCAAAGTAATAATTTTTGAAAGATGTGCTGAACTGAATTTAGGCTGGCATGCTTCTTGCAGAAGATTAATTTTGTTTTAATCTTTTGCTGTTAAGAAAGAATTGGAGGGTTTTTTATACTTACTGTTTAAGTTCCCATTATCTTTGTCTAAATTATAGGTTGGTATTTTCAACATTAGGTTAATGAGATTTGTCTGTATTTTGACTTATTTAAATTAGTATTAAATTAGTATGCTTTTCTTTTGTAAGTGTTTGCACAATTAATAGTTTGCAGTTAATTTAGAATATGATTATTTTCCCCTCTTCCACTTAGAAGGGAGAGGGAATACAGCAAGTGATATGGATTACAGATACTTCTCAGGATATTTTTGTTCACTTTCATGTTATCTAATTGTGAGTGGCTCCATGTAAAAGTGAAGAGTTCTTTCCATATTTGTTTTATATCCATATAGAGACTAAATTTAAGGAAAGCTGCTTATACTAGACCATGCTGCTTTGAATTTCCTTGATGAAACAATATATTAGATGATAAAGAGAAAATACATAATTTGAGCTGTTCATTGTAGCAATAATTATTTCCTCTTTAGAGGATAAGTAATTTTGAATCTGATAGCCCTATGCTCAGATGAAATATGTCTTGTTTTTAATTGTACAGCCATATGAATATTAAAAAGACTTCAAAGAGCACTAGAGTACAAGATTATTAGACATAACTATGATTATACTAATTTGGAATAAAATGTGAGATTGCTTGATATTTTCAGAATGAATGTAACTTTCATGCTTTTGCATGTTTGCCAGCATATAGTGATTACTGTTCTGAGACATTACTGATTAGTATTATTCATGGTAATCTATTAGTTACCAAAGAGCAATTGCAGTAGACAGTAAGATCTTATCTATGCTTGTCTTACAAAATGGAATTGCTACTATACTACTGTTAGTAGTGAATAATACGTTTCTAAGTTAATTTGCCTTCCATAGAGATTATTTTGGGAACCCTTCTTTCTGATGAGGAAAGTACTGCGTTACTGCCTTTTCCTCAGCTTCTGCTTTAGCAGTTTTGTCTTGTATATGTTAGAAGAGTCACTAGGATACCTGCTTTTACACTTCAGGTGTTTTTTCAGTGGTTGAGTAACACTGATGTGTAATTGCATAACCTTTCAGTCTCTGATTGCTCATCCTTTGTGCTACTAAGAGTGTGGTTTTCGCCTGGCTACAAATCTGCTGAGTGTCAGCAGAATAAACTCTAATGTGGATAGTTCTGATTTAGTTAGGTCTTCAAATCTTTTCATGTCTCAGTTTGATCTAATTTTGTTGATTCTTTCCATATTCTATTACATCAATTAGAAAGGAATCTCTTTCCTTTCCTCTTTTTTGTGTGTGCAGTTAATAGAGCACTTCATGTCTGCTGGGATTAATAATCTTGTTCTAGCTAGACAGGCTAATTTGCATAGCCCTTTGGCTCTACTGGTAGAAATATGGGTGGTGTTCCTTCATAGCTTTAGGTTATGTGCAGAGTCTTATTATCTATCTTCATTCCAACGTGTTCCCACTGCTTCATCCTTCCACATCCCACTACCTCTTTCAGGTGTTTCAGAAATTGTTCCAAGTCTATATTTCTCACTAAACTGGAAGATTACTGAAAGTACCTGGAATTTTTGAACCATCAGGAACATGCATAGTACTTTACTTTAAAAGAAGAAACAGTTTCAAAGAAGTCTTAGCAATGTTCCAGCTCTTTTAGGTAGTCATAAAGTCTTAGACATAGCTTGGTTTCTTTCTTGAAAGTAATTCTTTCTCTTCTGTCTCAAAATCAGTCTACTGCTCTCCCATTAATCTGTTGATTAATGACATTTTGAGCCCTAACCTTCTCAAGGCTTGAGTCCCAGAGCACATAGCATTCAAGAGGCTGAGACAACTGGATTTGATAAATCTTGCGGGAGTGGGCAACAGTATCATTGCTGTTTTCAGCTGGCTGACAAGATGGGACAGACTCCTTTTAGAGGCGCACCATGACAGGGCAAGATGCAACAAACAAAATCTGCATTGTAAGGACAGAAATTCCAGTTAGACCTCAAGAAAAAGACTTTTCACAGGGAAGGCAGTCAGACACTGGAACAGGTTGTCCAGACAGGTTCTGCAGTATATCTCTGGAGATACTTAAAATGAACTGGAGATGAGGTGTGACCAAGAGCTTGTCTTGATTGGCCCTGTTTAGTTAGGAGATTGGACCAGAAGGCATTCAGACACCTTCCAACCTAAATTACTACATGGCTCCACTCACCACACTCTCAGAAACAAATTGGATTTTTTTTTCTAGTCATAGCATTCTCTTGTAGTGAATTTTCTTTGCTGTTTGCTATTTACTACTTCCCAGATGATAATGGTACCTTTCTTATGTTTTCACTAGTTATACTATCTTGTCTCCTCATCTGTGTTCTATCAGGGTATGTCTTAAGATATTTTTCCTGGGGTTTCTAAAATACTATATTTCTTCAGCACAAAATTCCAGTATTCAATGAAGGGAACCGAGAGGTATAAACACATGTGATTAGGATAAAATTCTAAAAGGTATCTTGTTGTATCTTTCAAGAATTTAATTCAGAAACAAAAATTTTTGTGTAATTTTACAGTAAAATAGATAGAAGTCTTCACCATTTTCTTAGGAAACAGATTGTTACCATCTTCTCCTCTCATATCTTAGTTCTCCTTTCTGCTTTTTGGAAAACCCAAGCCTGGTGCCCTTCTCCTGCTAGTACTTCTGCTGTCATAACACAAATAATTAAACATTTAAATTATGATACTTATGCCTTCAAAGAACAGGTCACATGAAATACTAGGGATTTTTAGTACCGCACAGATCTACTGTGGAAAGGAATTGGGTTAATAGTTCTTTTTCAGTTATAAAACTAGGACTCTGAAACTCAATTTTTGTATTTTTAAAGGAATGCACAATGAAGTCATTGCATGTTTAAAAGTGCCCAGAGTAATAGTTGTTGTAGTATTGGAATAGTTGACATTTATTACAGTGCTGAGAAAAAAATAATAGGATAAAATAATTTCGGTAAATGTGAGAGAATTGTGTAAGAGGGTATATATAGCAAGGCATATGTGTACATGCAGATAGAGAATCAAGCATGTGAATCTTTACTTGATTTTTTTTTTCTTTAAACACTTCGTAAGAAATAGAAGGAAAACGTCTGCTTAAACAGAGAATCGTTATTACTGAAAAAATGTGACTACCTTAGAACTGCTCTGTTACCTCAGATTCAGGAGGTAACAGAGCACTGCTTAAATGAGCATTAAGTTACTCTTAGAGTTAGTTCTTTTTTAGTTGTTTAGTTGTCAGATTTGTTGCCGCATTCTGACGTGTTGTTTCACGCATACAGTAAAAATACAATAAAGTGTGCTATTACTACTTCATCCATGTGAGTAAAGCTGTGAAGGTGTCGAGTAGATAATGCAAGTTGAATTTTATGTTGTGATTTTCATACTTTTGTAATGATAGCTTTTTGTTGTTGGGTATGACCTAAACCAGAGGAATGGAAATTGAACTGTGACTTGATATATCTAAAGGGAAGACAAATATAATTTAGAAACAAAAATGGTTGCATATTTTTACTGTATAACAGATAGCACTCTTCAGAGTTATGGTGGCATTTTAGCAATATAAAAATGCATTAACTAACATATGCCTTTCTACTACCTATAGGATTCTCTAGCTGAAGTTGAAGAAAAGTACAAGAAGGCGATGGTTTCCAATGCTCAGCTAGATAATGAAAAAAACAACTTGGTTTACCAAGTGGATACTCTAAAGGACGTTATTGAGGAGAAGGAAGAACAGATAGCAGAGTTCTACAGGGAGAATGAAGAGAAGTCAAAGGTACTGATTTTTAAACTTTCTTTTTTTCTAATCATAAAGTTAAACCGTAGAATTGCTTATTAAGAACTGCTTAAACCTGGACTGCTTAGTAAGAACAGTTGAAAACATTTGGGTTAGTAGTCTATCTGTCTCAGTGACTAAAGATGTTTTGAGTATTGGGGGAGTGTGTGTGGTGTTTTATTTTTGTTTTTTTAAATAAAAACCCAAAATAACACCAGCCCTTCACCCCCATCCCCTGGAAGAAAGAAGTTATTTGATTAATACTCTATACTTGAGATAAATATGACTTTAGATCAAATACAGTATTTTCAGTCCTACTTTCTTGGAAAGGGAAGTTCAGATGTCACAGCTTTTTCCAAGTGTTTAAATAAATTCAGCGTCTGAGCTTTTACTGTTAATGCTGTGCTGGCAACTTTTCTATTCTACATGGTACTTACTATACAGAAGATTTTATTTGGTATCTGTGAAACTTACCTGGAACAGGTGCCATGATTTTTAGCCACTTGTAGTTGCAGTAATTTCTTAGATAAAGTTATGATAACTGATATTACTAACCTTTTCAAACAAGCCAAATAATTAATCTATTTTATATAGGAATTGGAAAGACAGAAACACATGTGCAGTGTTCTGCAGCATAAGCTGGATGAACTTAAAGAGAGCCTTCGACAGAGAGATGAATTGATAGAGGTATGTTCATATGAGATAGTTTATGGTAGAACTTGTGCAAATACAAATGGTGTAAGATTTGAATGGTAACAGCCATCATAGGCAAAACAAACTTAAATGCTATCTTTCATTTTAAAGAAAAACAATTATCTTGTTTTAGTGGGTAGAATTTAAATTATCAATCTTTCTGTAAATATAGAAAGAATTGGGGGCCGGTTAGCTCAGTCAGTAGAGCATAACGCCAAGGTCGCGGGTTCGATTCCCGTTGGGTCCCCATGTGTTGCCTGATCTAGTTGAGAGGTGGCGTCCCTCGCGACAGGGAGGCTGGATCAAAATGATCTCTAAGGTCCCTTCCAGCTTAGGCCATTCTGTGATTCTATACACAGTTGAAAATTTTTCTGCAAGATTTTCACATGTGTTATGTCTTGTAAAATATTTAATTCCTGTGAGAATCATGGTTCTCTCATGAATTTTCCTCGTAACTTTTTGTCCTTTTGAGGGCAGAACTAATGTTTGTATAGCCAAAACCTTTTTGCATAGGCAAAAGTTCTGGTGCATGGATAATACCAAATGTTACTCTTTTCCTTTAAAAAAAATTTCCATTTTAGTTATTTCATTTTTTTGTGAGCATCAACCACTGAAGTTTGTAGTTGTAAATATTAGTTTACTTACCAGTCAAGCACCCTTTTCTTCCGGAAAAAAATAAATGTATCCTAAAATTCCAGAGCTGTTATCAGTCTTCATTTTAAAATGGTCTACAGAGATACATATTGTCAAGAGTATGTCCATTTCCCATTGATTTTAGGTCTAGCACTGGAAGTCAATTAGTGCTTTGTTTTCCTGTCAGCTTTTGGTTTCAGTAAAAGTTGATGATCTTTAAGTGTGCGGGCCAAAGTTTCCACTGCCTAATTTTCAAAAACTATGTAATACTGATTTCTTTGATCAATTTCTATCTCCACTAAATTCTTTTGCTGTCTGGGTAGGACAGTATACTAACTCCAAAAGACTTCTGAAAAGTAACCATCTGTCATGGTTACTTAGAAAATAATATGCTTTGTGAACTAGAGTTGATATGACTTACTAGCAGAAGAAAATAAATAAGATAAAATAAAATAAATAAAATAAAATAAATAAGTAGCAGCATTTTGTGACAGATTAATCCTGGCAAGCAATAAAACTTAGCGAATTCTGGTTGTGGCACTGTCACTTGCTCAAGGTTCTTTGACTTCACTGTGAATTAAGAAAAACTTTTTTCTTTCTTCTCTGGTTCTTGTTTGTTTGGGGTTTTTGTTGGGTTTTCTGTGTAAGTATATGAAACCAAAATACGTGATAGATTTCTCTGGAGCATTTGCTTTGGTACCATGTAGCGTATGTTGAAGGTTCACTAAATGCATGCAGTCCCATCAAAGATTTGACCCGTATTTACCATTTCTTGAGTAACCTCTCTTATCTATTAACACTAACAGAACTGAGCTTTTTGTAGAAAGACATTGTTTTCTATTCCCAGATGTGAAATTAAGTTCATTCATTAGGAGGGCAAAAAATTCTCTAGCCCTAAAAAATTCTTATGTCATCTTCATACGTAAAATTACATGAGCATAGCAAAAGTCTTTAGTTATGTTTGCAGGGCAAGCAGCAAAACACAGTGTTAGTCAGGTAAAAAACTAGGACCACGCTTGGAAGGTATTAATGTAGTATCAGCAGTTGTATTTCACTTGCAGGATGCTGGATTCAAACCTCTTTGTACTTTCAAGAAGACTTTCTGTTTTATCAAACGCTGATAAAACCACCCATTAACATTAGTATACACTTCCAAACGGAACTTGAAGGTATCTGAAGGAAATTACAACAGGGTTATTTTCCTATAGAAAGGATGTTATCCCCAGCCTGTTACTGCTACTGTGAACTGTTACTGAAGAAAAGTAGCTCTGGCTGCACTAAATCCTCCTATCAATGTTTTTGAAGAAAATCACTGGCTCTTCTCTTGAATGAATTATTAAGAAATAAATTATGTTAGGTTGCACCCTTTTTCTTCATGCTCATCAACTCCTTGGCTGACTTTTACTACTTCATTTCCTTTATCTATTTCAATGTGTTTTTTCCATTTCCTTACTTCTCTTTCCTCTTTTATTCTTTCCTCATCCTATTTACTGCAGGAGAATCAGCGCATGCAGCAGAATATAGACTTCATAACCAAAGAGGTGTTTGATCTCCAGGAGACAATTAATTGGAAAGATAAAAAAATAGGGGTATGAATCAAATATGGGGGAAAGGTATTTTTTTCATATTAGAAGTAGATGGATGCTATCCCTTTCTCCCCTCTCCCCTGGAATGCTGTGTACTCTGAAGAAGTGAAGGCCACTCCCAGTTTAAATACTTAAAATGTTTCACAGTCTTTCTCTTGTTTAGAAAATGAGCTCCACTTAATCTTTACTAGCATAATGATGAATAATACTAATTAAGTCGATAACATAATAAACTGTTATGTTTTATGATTTTTTTAAAAAATATTTTTCCCTTATGTTCAGTGCTTGAAAAAGTCACCGTTTCCTAATTCTTAACAAAGGTCAAAATGGCCTGGATCTGTATATTGATCCATAGTGACAAAGCAATAATATATCTTTATACAGATTTGATATTGCTTTTAAAGCTTTTAATCTCCTTAGAGGCAAATACAATTTTCAAAGCGTGAACGGTTCAAACCTTCCTCACAATTTGACTCCTGCCTGTGTTGTCATCTCAACAAGTTGTGTAAGAATGAGTGGATTTTAAGATTGTCTGTACTACCTCAAGTAAGAAAGATGAAATACCGCAAATAGTGGAACCTGGAGCGCTGCAGAAGCTGGGGGTCAAAATGTAGAGGAGCCTCAGTGAATATTGTAGATCATGTTTGCATTTGGTGTATCTAATGCTAAAAAGTATCATCTTGAATTGGCTTCTGCAGCCAACTTGTGCATTCCTATATTGCACTTCTGATCCTTCTAGGGCTGGTTAGCTTGGATGCAATGCTGAACCAACCTGATTTTGTGAAACCACACACGAAATACCAGAATTACCAACTACTGGAATTGGAACAATGGTTGTGAGGGACCTTTCGAGGAGCATCTGTAGGGCTCCTGTGTTAGGCAGGAAGGTGGTACAGAACTGTGTTGCTACTCACTACACAGCTAATGATGGTCAGGCAGGGTTTGTCAGCTTTGCTCCTGGCCAGCACAGAAGCAGTGAACCTGAGTTGGCTTGATCCTCAGTGATAACTATGTGACCATGAGCTTGTTGCTGTTCTGGCCCACAAGCAGATTGCCTGGTGGTGAGATGGAGTTAAGTGCAAAGTTTTTAAAAAGGAGATGTCTGCCTCTTAGTGGCTCTAGGGACACTTACACCAGATTGTGATAGGTGTAGATTTTTTTTGACAACTGCTGTATTTGCCGGAGTTCAAGCCACTTTGAAAAGTTATATTTTAACCAATGGTGCCCAGTTTATAAAAGCCCTGTTGTACTATCTTTTTCAATCCATATTTATTTCATGTTTCAGTCCTTCAATCCATATTGCAGTCTTCACTTTCATCATAAAATAATATTTCAGTGTGTTTAAGTTTTTTCTGAACTTTATTCTGAAACATTTTTTTCTTTAACCATATTCTTTCCATAATTACTCTTCATCTTGTGTACCAGTCAGTCTCAATTTGTGCAAGTACTTTTTTACATTAAAAATATGAGTTAGTATAGAGCATAAAATTTATCCAGTATTCAGCATAAACCAGCTACCAGTCAGATTAACGAGAAAGATATTTTTTTTTTTTAAGCCAAAATTTACTTGCCAGTTTCTCTGTTGTTGAAAACACTAACTGGATATTTTTCTAGTTCTTATTGCCATCTTGGAGTTGAAATATCTTCGTTCTTAAAACATAAAAATTGCTGTCTTTCTCCTGTTATTTAAAAACATGTACTTACTTTTCTTAGGTCACAGTTCCTGAGTCTTTCTCCCCAGTACTGCTTAACTTTGCTAGTTTTTATGCTATTTGAGCTTCAGAAGTCTCTGAGAAGCTTCACAAAGGAGTGAAAACAAAGTTATAAACACTAGAATTGTAACTTAGTTTTACAATGCAAGACTGATGCTGCCTTAGAGGAAGGAATAGAAGCAAGCAGAACAGAAATAGTATAGGTTGGCCTTCTTTTATTGATGTTTCTACACTGTGATTGAAATTTGCACTTGTATTTAGTCTTGAATTATATAAATTTGAGGACGCCAAAGTATAACTGCCAGATTTTATTCCTGAAATACACAGCTGTTTTACTGTTCGATGGCTGCAAATTGTACATGCATCGCCACTTTGAAATTAACAGTGATGTGTCCGAGTTCGGTTATAGATTTCATGAAGACTTTTGGAATATTTAGAAAATAGACCCCCAGACAAATCTGCTGCCCGCACCCAGTGATCAGATTTGAATCATATTGGTGTGTTAAAGTGTGCCTGCAGAGCCTAGTTGTCCTGATTTCTGCTCCTCACCCGAACAGGAGATTTTTCAGAAGTAGGTTTAGTACAAAATAACTCCTGAGCATACAAACACCAGCAGTTTCACTAAAGTTTTTCAGTGTTGAGTAATGACCGCTAATCTCTCCAGATATAAATATGTGGTTATCAGTTTTGTTTCCTTCCCCATCAGAATTTTCTGATTTCCAACACTTATGCTTAGCATGTGAAGATAGAAAGGATGTTTTGGCAGGTCAACAGCATCACAGGACACCACTGAGCACACGGGATCTGTGTCTGTGCTGTGATTCTGGTCTTCTGTGTTCATTCTCTCAAGTGGGTGAGCTTACTTCCCCCTCCATCTCTGCTGCCGTTCTTCATGTATTGGCAAAGGTGTGTGTATCTTTAAGTGGAACAACAGGTGATGTAGTGATTAAGGTTCTTCACACTGTTTATAACATACTCAGAGATCTAGTAGGTGTTAGGAAGTAAAAGGACATCTTACGAGTTCTTAAACTATCATGTGACAGCTAATACTTTCACATATGTTGAATTATCTGCATATTAAGTGTTACATACTAATAAAAAAAGTGCAACAGCACTTATTTTTCTATTGAAATTAAGAGTAATGCATTAAAACAGTGCTCCAGGATAGAATTCCACATAATTATTAAAATTCAGCATACTGTAATTGTCATGTGGAGCAATTAACAATACAAAGATATGCACCTTCATTTCTTTCTTGATATCAGTCCATTCCTAAACATTCGTGCATGACATAAGGTTTAGTTAGATAATTTTCTTGGCAAAATATGTTTACACTTTTGCAGTTGCTGCATGATGAAGATTGTTTGTAATGTGTGCAGTAGTGAATCTGAATGGAATACTGGGCCATTGCCCAGTCAGGCAAGTGTGCATTTAACTGCCAGGTAACACAGCCCCAACATAGGTGGGCAAACCCATCTACATCCATGTCATGCTTTTAGCTGTGATCATTTTTTGTGCTAGATTAGCGCAGTTAGCATTTGCTTTTTTTTACCTCTAAAACTGCTTTAGTTTTAGAAAAAGGTGGCTGTAACATTTAAAGTAGTAAATAAACTGGTATTTGTAAATGGATGACAGGCTTATACATTCAAGGTTTTTTATGAGGTAAGATTTCTACTTGCATACCCTATAAAAAGTAGAGAAATCAGTTCAATGGGTGTAATGTTTTAGGTGTATTAAGAAGAGTTGATCTTTATGTATTCCATTTAGTTTATTGAAATTTACCAAAAATAAAATCCACTAAATAAAAATCTATCACAGATGCTAAGACTCACTTAGGAAAAGTTATGTCATGACAAATGTGCAGCAATGAGCCTAGATACGTGGCTAATAAAAGGTAGTTATCAGAGATGTTTGTTATATATATATAAAATACCCTTTTTAACCTTTTTTACTTGTATTGAGCTCTTTTTCTTTACTTGTAGAAAATCTCTCTGCTATCTGTCATATGCCTTTTCTCTGTGCCATTCTTTTCTTGCTATCTGCCTGAACCCAGGCCCTAGAAAGACAGAAAGATTACTTTGACTGCATTAAGAATGAGCGAGATGAGCTCAGAGAGGAGTTGGCTGACCTGAAGGAAACTATGAAGAGAGGAGAGGTATGTTGGTAGTAGTTACTTTACAGTAACAGAAATCCAAGAATGGGGCATGAAATCAAGGTCAATGGAAAAGAGAAAGAATGATTACTGTTCCAGTGCAGTCTCAAAGCCTGACCTTAGGGTAGGGCACATATAGTGCATTTTGTTGTAACTGTTTCAATCAACTTGAAAGGTGGGGTTTTTTTAAAAAAAAACCACAACAAACGCAAAAACTCAAAAAACCTTTTCTGTCCTATTATATTTTAGCACTGCTCTTGTATAAATAGATTTTGTTGTTGTTGTTGTATTTTTAGAAACATGGATTAGCTATAATTCCAGATGTCACTCCAAATGGTGATGTAAACCATGAATCAGTGGTTGGTGCAATAACAGTTGTATCACAGGAAGCTGCTCAGGTCCTGGAATCTGCAGGAGAAGGACCACTAGGTAAAACTACTCCAACATGCTTTATAGAGTGTTTGGGTGTTTGTTTTCCTCCTATGCAGTTTGTTGTGATTTATAGTCACAAAACAGGTACCTGTGATGCTTCTGGAATACATGCTTGCATAGCTTTCAAGATTGGGATTATTTTTTTTGTGGTTTTTTTTTCCTCTCAGTAAAAAGACAGATTTTTCTTTTGAGTAAAAAAAAAAAGTAATAGTATATGCTTAGATATTTGTAACCGATTAGATCTCTTGTTCCAGTTTCTGTTTTATTATTGTCAGAAAATAGCTTGCATGAAAGTGTAGTCTTCTGGATTAGTATGTTTTCTATTGTGTTTCATGAAAAAAGAATCTTTAAAAATATGTATAATCAATGGAAGAACTTCTGTTACAGAAAACAATTCATTGTATATTCTTTCCCCTTCCGTGAAATACTTCTGGTTTTATTAGTATAAAGCAAGTGCAGTCTTCCATCATATTTATTAGAAAAAAAATATATGTTTTGAAGTCATTCAAAAAATTACATAGAAAGATACAGGTTTGGAGAGCCTTTATTTTAGCATACAATAACATGTATGTCATTTTGTTGGAAATGGCAGGCTTAGATATTGGGACAAAACTGTGTTTTATTAAAAAAAACCCTTGGGTTGTTTAATTAACTTTCAAGAATTAATGAAGTCAGACATCTTACTTTTAAAATTGTTATAGTAATAAACAGTGGGAATTAATTTTTTCCCTTTTTTTCTGCTATTAACTGAAGGCTGGCATGTTGTTATTAGTGAGATATCATTCTTATGCTCCTACTGCTTTAAGTTTGAAGAGCATTTTATTTGAAAAATAACAAAATTATGAAAAATATGTTCTTAGTTGCAGATTTCTCTGTTTTTTAATTGAGTTCTTTTTTCAGATGTCCGACTACGAAAATTGGCTGGAGAAAAGGAGGAATTATTGTCCCAGGTAAAATAAGCTAATCTTTTCAGAAATAGACCTTTGTGTATTCTTTTGCAGACTGTTAATAGATTAGCAATAAACAAATACTACGCATAAAAAGTGCTTAGTCAAATACTTACTCACTAGAACAAAATAAAATTACCTGGCTGGCTACCTGGAATTACCAGGTCTTTTCACTAGTGTCCTCAGCCAGGTGATTTTGATCTTGGTTGGTAGAGAACCCTCATTTTGCTAGCTGGTTAGATGAAAACTAAATGGCTGATGACTACTATTAGTGCATGTACTTAAAGTTGTTCTTTGTTTTGTTTTGTCTTACTTGGAAATACTAAAATCAGTAAAATTACATTCTTATAAGTTCAAGTGGTACTATTTCTTTGATCATTTCAGTTACTCAAATAGAAAAATAATATTATCCAAGTAGTTATATTATAAAACAGTTCAGTACTGAGTAAAGAGGACTCAAAAAACAACATAGCCATTCAACAAGAATGTTAAGAATACTCTAGTGTTTATGCTTGTAGTTGAACACATTGCAAATTTCAAGTGGCATTGTCAACATTTAGTTTTACTGGGAATGTAACAATTTTAGTATAGATCCTTGATTTAGCATGCCAATATATTCTAGTGTTGATTAAAGACATTAAATGTAATTATCAAGTGTATAAAGAGGTGTATGCATATTTATCATCGTGTAATTGTGAAAATAACTTAAAATATTTGTTTCATGGATGGGAGTTTTGCATGTATAACTTCCATGCTGTTTGTCTATAGGACGATATTTTGATAAGAAAGTTTATAAAAGTAGCTCCCATTTCTTCTGTAAACTCCAAACACAGGGGACAGAGCTGAGGAATCAACAGATTTTCACAGAAGAGTACTTCTTTTTCAGGTCAGAAAACTGAAGATGCAGTTGGAAGAAGAACGACAGAAATATTCTAAAAGTGATGGCATGAATACAGATATCATGGGCTTGGAGAACGGTTCTGACCTGCAGCTAATTGAAATGCAGAGTAGGTATATGGTTATTGTTCCAGAGGTATTCTTACTGGGGAGAGGAAAGAGGCTTTTCCAACCCTTTTTCTTGTGTTGTTGTGCCGTAGTAGTATTGTGAAGCAGCTGTTGTTGAGCAGCTCTTTTTTTGGTGATATATCTTCTTGCAGGAAGTTTCTCAATGCAGAATAGCTTAAAAATCTGCCTCTTTCAGTGTTGAATAACAACATTCTGGCAAGTTGTTTTTCAGTTGATTACCTTGCCTAGAATGGGTGCCACTACTTGGACAATTTCAATTTTTACATGGTAGAATTTCAGCTGAAATTTTTCTTTATATATTCTGGGTTTTTTGTTTATTGAATTTTTGATATAGAAACTTATTCTAAAATACTGTTATTCTCATTAAAAGGGAAACTGCCAGTTTAGAGAGCTGTTTTGAGTAATATCTTCATGTCAATTTTTATCTAGGAGATGCCAACAGGCAAATTAGTGAATACAAATTCAAGCTTTCAAAAGCTGAACAAGATATAACTACCTTGGAACAAAGCGTAAGTGTTTCTTTCTTCCTATTTATTGTTGCTATTCTTACACTTCCTCTGCACACTTTCACAATACTTCTTTTCAATAAAAACTATGAAAACATATGTCATAATTTGATTTACTGATTGTTCTTTAGTTTGCACATGGCACCACTTTTCCATTTTTCATGTAATTGAATGCCTAAGCATAGTCTATCCATAAAAGAAAATAATCTGGAGTTAACAAATTAAGATGTGAATGTACAGCAGAATATGAAGAGGGACTGAAGCTACTAGTTCAAGAAAATCAATTCATGTAGCTTAAGTACAATAAAGTTGTATAGACTGTGTAAAGTACTGCTTAATTCTTTAACCTTCTGTATCTTCTCAGCAGTGTCCTGCATTCTGTACCGTTTCCTGTGACCCTCACCACAGAGGACCAAGCAGTTTTCTGCCCACAGTTTATTTTACTGTTTTGTTAGTTCGTTTAAACGCTCTCCTTTGCTATTGTGGCTGCTGCTAACAGTTAAACCTTCTCTTTCCAGAGGGAGATAGTATGGATAATTCACGGGATGCCTTGTGTTACAGTGGCTTTTTAGAAAGGGAAGAACAGCTGGTAGCAGGTGAGCTCTGGGTGGAACACTTGAGTAATTGTTCCTTTTGTCTTTTTTGGGTTTGCAGATTGGACGTCTTGAGGGGCAGGTTGTGAGGTATAAAAACGCAGCAGAAAATGCAGAGAAAGTAGAAGATGAACTAAAAGCTGAAAAGAGGAAACTTCAGCGAGAGGTAATTGACTTGATTTCCTTTTCAGCTCTATGCCCGTTTCAGTCCTGAACTGCTCTTTTACCTCCAAGCTCTGGTTTGGGGGGTTTTTTTGGTAATCGTTGTTACAGCTTTTAGGTGTTCTTTGAGGAGATTTCTGAGTCTATCAGTGTTGTGTTCAGAAGACAACTGTTGCATATAAAAGTAATACTAATTACAATTCAGTGCACTACTTCCTTGAAAAGAAGGATCCTAAGTTGTGTTTTCTCTTAAATGTGATAACTTTTACTATTTTAAACTAATCCTTTCATACAAATTACTGGGTGATGGTCCCTATGTCACTTGCCGGCCTGGGAAGTTTCCAGAACGCATCCCAGGATGCTGGGAAGAAGCCGTGTTTAATTGAGCTGTTGATCGCGCTTGCTGAAGAGCTGCTGCATGACTCCATTAGAAAGCGTAACTTGTATTCTTGATGTAATTTCCTCTATCAAAGCTTAAGGACAGCAGAAAGTCTAAGTAAACCTAAAGTGATCGTAACTTTTGCTTTCATTTTGTAGTTAAGAACAGCACTGGATAAGATAGAAGAGATGGAGATGACCAATAGCCACTTAATGAAAAGGCTGGAGAAAATGAAGGCAAATAGAACTGCGCTTTTATCTCAACAGTGAAATGGAAATTGAAAATACAATGTACTGCTCCTTGAATAACTAGCCCCTAGCTTGTTTTTAAATACAGACTTTCACTGGCACAAACTATTTGAACACTGAGCTGTTCATAGGTGTTTTAGTTTCTTAATTAAATGGCATACTTCTTTTTGTAACTTATGAGAGAATGAAATTTCCCATGTGAATGACAGCAATTTTTCCATAGCGTTTGATTCTACAGTCAGAGCTGGAGCACAATACTGTATGTTTGACTTTAGCGATAGAAAATATTTTTACAACTGTGGAATCAAGTTTACTCACGATCTCTTTTGACTGCTTTGATGATGCTTGATGCTCAGAGACAACTGCATGAATTCAAGATGACCCTGTATTATAAACTAACGTGTATTTGCTCAAGACATCACACAGCACAAGTGCCTTTTATATGGTGCAATTTAGTCTTCATTGTTGAAATAACATTTGAAATCAGATAACATTTTATTTTAAGATACATTTGGGATATTCACTAGACTTTATACATTTTGAAAATACATTTTTGTAAAATATTTAAATTTATAAGAAAATTAGGGACTGTATATAAAAAGCTGCTTTTTTTTTTGCATGGGCATATGTGAGTTCTAGGCAGTTTTGTCAAATACTAGCCTCTGATTCTCTTAGTATTAAGAGTGCAGATTTTAAAAACTTCTGTTGTACCCCATCAAATTATATGTCATCTGCTGCTTAAGTGTGAATTGAAATTTTAGGGTGGGAGGAAGGAGTGGGAAATGTGGCTAAGGAGTTTATTAAATGGACACTTTACTGACTAAAACCCGATGTTTTGTGTTTTCTTTTAAATACTGAGACACCAACAGGATAGAGCAAAATCTTTGCAGAATAGTAATTTCTGATCTCCATACCTTTGAAAAGTGTCTTTTTGGCTTTGGAGTAATGAGTTGGAAATTTTTTTTTTATTTTTTTTTTTGCATTTCCTATCCTAGTGTGTTGCTCTAACAGTACTGGCAGGCAGGAGAGGGGTGGTACAAGCAAGGAAGAAATTTCTGAAACAGTGTGTGGGATTTTGTCTATTGCTTACTCTTTATGGACAGTGAATGCTAGTAAGAACTTTCACTCTTTTCGTGCTGGCAAATCACCAGTGGGAAACAAACATCATCTGCAGAGGCAATTCTGAAGTATTTGAAGTGGTGCTGCCCTGTGTTTGACTTCCCTTGAAGCCAGCAGGAGTCCAGCATTCAATCTGAGAGGAGTCATTCTTTTGGACTTCTATCATGCTTTCCTGTTGCAAACTGTTACCCTTCAAGAGTATATCACAAAGCAAGGTGAGTTTCAGGACCTTTACGATCCAGCGGGTTAGTATTTCTCCTTGGGTCAGAGCAGCTTTCCAAAGAAAAGCCATCCTAGCAGTACAGAACTGAAGTTTTCTGTCTCTTGGTTTGGAAGCCTCTTGGACCTGGAAAAGAAAATGCCTTCCCTCTTGACCAACCTCCTTTATAAGTAGCAGATCTCCCTAGGACTTGGTAAATAGGAGACCATTGTAGTTTGGTGATCACATAGATCGTCTGCGCTATTAACTCTGTGCATTCCGTTGTGAAATTGTTCAGAAGAAACTGTCAGGGTCTTGATTAGTTGCCCTTAATGGTGCGTATTCTGAACATAAAGGGATACTTTAGGGGGTTTGATAGTGTTCATATATACAAAACTGTGCTAAAACCTTATATGGCATGTGGTGGGGAGCACATCTGGCTTACCTCCTCTAAACCACTCTGTTGAAGGTGCACTTTTTATGGCACAAGGAGAACTGTGATTTCAATATTAAACCATATAACAGATAAGGAGTTACTAACGTGGTTACCAGCCTACTGCAAAAGATTTCTGGATCACAGGTAAAGCATCAGTACATCCTTTCTAAAGATTAATATGTTTAGTTGTTTTTTAAAATGCTTTTTATTATGGAGTTCTGTTAGTGTGGCTGTTTTAGTTGTAGAGCTTCTGCAATTTGTGCTAACAGAAAATCAGAAAAAATTCGACAGAATACTCAGAACATGAGCTTCCCAATGTGTAGACTAGCTGAATAATACTGGACAGCCCTAGGAAGAATTAACTGCAAACCTTTCACCTTTTTCTGGAACAACTCTTGTCAGGAGTACCAATTTTTTCACCAAGTTTTACCAGCTTCTTCTGAACTCCTTTCATATAAGTGGGACAGATATGAAGAAAAATGAAAAGTGATAGCAGTAAATCAGCATCGTTATCAAGCCTGTCCTGTTATTAAGTTTTCCTTGTGAAACTGTTTCAGAGTCATGCAACTCAACAAAATATTTGTAATGACCATATCATATTGCATTGTTTGAAAATTGCAGAGTGATTTTGTTTTTCAAGCTGTAATTTTACAATGCTCTTGGTTATGATTCAAGTTAATGTTGCAAACTCCTCAGAATGTACAAATGGTCTGTCTACTGGCAGGGTACACTAAAGTTTTAAAAAGTCGTCCAGTTTGGCTCATGCTGCTTGATAGATGCCTGCTCAAAGTTTGGCCCTTGACATTTTACAAACTTTAAAAAAACTCACTTATCACAGCAGACTTATTGGCCACATTCTTACCAATTTTTTTATTTTCCCCTCAGCAATCTAAGCAATCATACTTAGTTGGTGGGATAACAAAATTTTGGGAAGCAGAACATTTGTTTACTTGCGTGTGTCTGATTACTATTTTCCTTCTGAAGAGTCAATACAATGGTCAAGTCAGTAACTATTCTTCTAGGGATGCAGACAGCACTTGTTTCCTTTCTGGTGTCATCCTTCTCCATTTCGATGTCTGGGTCTTCCCCTGGTGTTTTTCTGCAGTAGAGAAACAAAACCAAAGCATGTTCTGCTCTACTATCACTTTGACAAAACTCATGCAGCAGATGGGATGCTTGATTCATGTCTTCTGTGTTAACACTGAAAATGCACAATGCTTCCCAAAAGCTTCCTAGGAGGAAAGTTCTGGGTTTACGTCTTAGGCATGATTTGTTAGAAAGGGTAGTTAATAAGGGTAATTAAGAATTGCTGATCACACCAGGTTTCTAATCTTTAAGCGTCAAGTCAATTGGGCTCTGAAGGACACATCACGAAACATGGGTATTTCTAAGGACTTTTTTCATTATGGGTGGGGGGAGGCGGAAAGGATTTCAAAAGACTTCTGCTTCTAACAGCACCCTGGAGGAGTTATAAAGGTTGCAATGATTTTTGTCTTTACTAGGGTGGTATCTGCAAAATTTATCAATATTTTATCCTTCTGTACTCCACAGGAGATCAGAAAGGTCTTCAATTTTGGGGCCATGTTGTGAAATAAATAGGTAGCATTGTATGACCTCATGAAAGATGAGACTTGCTGAGGAGGCACCATCTCATTGGACTAGGGTCTGCTCTGTCAGTACTCGCCAGACCTTACTGTGTCCCCCTGAACATCAGCCATTTCTACCAGACCAGTCATCTTCCTTTTCAGCTTCTTGCACCCTTCAGGGTTCTGCATTAATCTCTCCTCTCTCATCAATGGGGCCTGTATTTAGGAGTTATTCACTGGCTGGAGAAAAGCATCCAATTTCTGGTCTCAGGAATCAGTGCAGACTGGAATTTAGATGTTTACCAGCAAAAAAATATCTAGAGAAATATCTGAAAGACTTGCTAAGATTGCTGAGGTGACCTGGGATAGGCTACCATGGTACCTAGGAGGTACTGTGAAAAGCAGCAACGAGAAGATCACGTTATACAGATGAGGTGATCCAAGAATAGGTATGAGAAAAACGTAAGTAACAGTGACTGAGGTTTTTTTTGGTTTTTTTAAAAATCAAATTACAGTTCATTCCATCAGAACCAATGTATCTGTGACAGGCAAGTCAGTAATGGGTACGTGACTTTACTGGCATAGCTGGAGACCACAAATTGCTTGTCAGCAAAATGAAATCCAGCATTATGAATAATTATGGGAAGCTTGTAGGGAACGCTATTTTTGGTCAGGCCAACTGAGGTTTGGATGAGGTAAAAACCCACGAGTTAGATTGTATTAATCAGATAATTTTAGCGATGCTTGCAAGGGGAAGAGAAGACTGTTAGTGCCTCTTGCATGCAGGCTTATGCCCTATTACTGCCCACAAAAAGGTGCCAAGTTAGTAGGACATAAGGGTAATTGTAACATGGCACAATACCAGTATTTTTGAGAGCATGATTTTTACCAGTGCAGCTAGGTTTTCCCTCAAGCTTATGGGAGTTTTGCTTGGTCTATGGGGGAGTTGTTGGGACTGGGTGGAAAGATTCAGTAAGTGTTTGTTGGAGGATGGACAGCAGCACCAAAAAGATAAAGAGAAACTAGTTTTTCCTGATCTTTCTTTTGTGGAATGTCACATGCCAAAAAGTCTCTGGGGTGCCTATGCACTCACGGCTTTTTGTACTGAGCTATACTGAGACTGAATTCCCCACATCCTGTGTGCCAGAAGGAGACCTTCATCCCACTCTCCCCACTGAAAACCAGGAGCCTGTTAACTGCAAGCAGTTGATTTAACCCCCCCAGATACACTACATAGGTGAGGCCAGTCAGGTTTAGCAGCAGGAACTTCAAGAAGACACACACACACACAGGGTTTTGCAGGCAGAGGAGTGAGGTGACTCAGGGCCTGGCCCCAGGGCTCGGTGGAAGCCGTGACCGTTGATGGCAGTTAGAGCTGCCTGTGCCTGGCGAGGGGCAGATGTAGGCCCCGCCACGGCCTGGGCTCTTGGCCAGCGGGGATCACAGAGCGGGGTCAGCTGGGGCTCCCAGCACTGCCCTGTGGCTCCTGCTGCCTCTGCAGCTTGTCTGCTGATTCTCAGTTCCTTGCTGTGGCTGTTGCAGGTGAATTCTTTCCTTCCATTGTTAATGAAGGTAGGACATGGTCAAGTACTCACAAAAGCCTTTCAGGAGTCAGGGCAACATGAAAGAACGAATTAAAGAGAGGAACAAGAAATGGACTGTGCTAGTGAAGGCCTACAAGCCCTCGCCTGCAGGTACTAACAGTACAAGTAAGATGCTTTGGTTGCCTGTGTCATAATTTATCTGGTGCTTGTCCTTTGTTTTCCGTGTGTAACGACAGATGGTTCTCCTGCAGCCAGCAGCCCTGTGTGACTGAAGAGCATCTAGGCCAAAAACAAAGCTCTAGCTCTGGCTTTGCAGGAAGAGAAGCTCAAAGTGAGAGAAGCCCTAGATGTCATTCAGTTCTTAAAGGGAGAGAATCAATGCCTGAAGCTTGAGGTCTTTTATTTACAAACACTAGTTCAATCACAGCAAGTGCAGGCACCTGATGAGGTATTTCAACACTGTCTTTGTCTTGCAGTGATAGGGAGTGTCAGAATTGGCTCCAGATATGCCTGAGGTCTCTTTGACTCCTGACAAGTCAGCTACACAGGAAAGAACTTTTTGGGTTTCTCCCTACTTCTGGTAATTAATAACTCCTTTTTTTCTTTTAGCTGCTTCTTCTGTAAGGAGAATCATAGAATCATAGAATGGCCTAGGCTGTAAGGGACCTTAAGAGATCATTTAATCCAACCTCCCTGTCATGGGCAGGGACGCCTCTCAACTAGATCAGGCAACACATGGGGACCGAACGGGGATCGAACCTGTGACCTTGGTGTTACCAGCACTGTGCTCAACTGAGTCAGTGCTCTCCTTTCAGTGGAC